GATGAAAGAAGGCTATGGGTGGGGGGTTCCTTACATTTGTAGATTACTGAGTTTCACATGACCGTGAGTCCTAAAGGAGGGAAAAGAAAGTGGCATGGGCTGTTCAATTGTTGACTGTCATTCACTTAGTAAATGTATTTCATTATGAAAAACCCAGTTTCCCATGTGGGTCAAAAGGTACAGCACATTTTCAACTCATTTCTAAGATAGCTGAGAATACTACTTGTACAGTTATTCTTCAAACAACATACCCAAATAAATGTTTCATGAAAAGTCTCTTATCTAGCTTAGTTTAGATATTAGAGGATTATACACATTACTAACCTGTTCGCAAACAGGCCACATTTGCAAGCCACCACTCTGGGATCTTGGGCAGAATCACAATTACTGGATCTCCCTTTTTCAGGGAACAAGCTTCTGTAAGTATATTGGCAAATTTCCTGGACAACCATCCCAGTTCTTCAAAACTCCACCTCACCTCTTCTCCGTTTCCATTTATCCACCAGAAGGCTGGATTGGAGGGTCTCTTTCCAACCTGAGGAGAGACAAACCAATCTTGGATTTAGAGGTGTTGTACAGTAAAATTCTATTTCAAATGACTTCATGAAATATATTCTCCTCAAGATAATTCATAAATTGTTAGTTGAGTCTTACATGAAGTTTATGTCATTAAAATTCTGGGGTCCTTATTTTTAGATTTGAGGAATCATGTCATTTCTTCTAGCTCCTATCATTACTCATTTAGCCTGATAGTTTTTTCTTCCAGAAAGTTACAATTCTTGCATCCCTTTAAATTTCTTTTTTTTTCCATTAAGTTTATTGATATATGTAAGGTAAAGAATACAGTTACATTCATCATTGGGATCTTGTACCTTATTTTTTCTCCATCCATTTATATTTCTTTTGGTGCTGTATCTATGCTTCATTGCCTGATAGTTTTTTCTTCCAGAAAGTTACAATTCTTGCATCCCTTTAAATTTCTTTTTTTTTCCATTAAGTTTATTGATATATGTAAGGTAAAGAATACAGTTACATTCATCATTGGGATCTTGTACCTTATTTTTTCTCCATCCATTTATATTTCTTTTGGTGCTGTATCTATGCTTCATTTCCTACCATTTCTGGCTCTTGGAGTCACTTTTCACTTTAACCCATTTTGTTTTAAAAAAAAATCTAAAAAGTACATTTATTCAACCCAAGCTTTCTCACTCAACTATGGGACTATTGACATTGTGGGCCAGATAATTCCTTATTTTATCCTTTATAGGATTTTTAGCAGCATCATTGGTCTTTACCCATCAGATGCCAGTAGCAGCTGTCCCTTCTATCTCATCCCATCAAGGCAACAAAATGCCTCAGGCATTCCTAAAATGTCCCCATGGGACATAATTGCTCCTAGTTGAGAAATTGTAGTCTGACTAGCTTTTGTCCCATACCTTTTCCACATTAGTCCATTGGTCCAGGACATCTTCAGCAAAGTTGAAATATTCTGGAATCTCCAGTTTGAAGTCCTTTTTCATGGACTCATAGCTGGAGAAATTCTGAGGAGTTGCTGCTCTGTAATCTCTATGCAGAGGTCTCATAAAACTATGAATTGCTAGGCACTGAAAGCACCTGGCACGTAATATCTCCATGGCAACAAGAGCTAGCGTCAGTTTTATAGGCTGTTTTAACACTCAGGATTTCCTTGGAAATTAACTCATCTAAAAGAGACAAAAAAAAAAAAAAAAGACATGCATTCACTTCTGTCCTGGAGATGCCCATGCCTCAAAGCAGCTGCATTATTATAATTATTATTATCACTACTATTAACAGTCTTAATCATCACAGGACCATTTTCTGAATACTCCCTATATTCCAAACATTGTGCTCCATATTTTAGGTGCATTTTGTCATTAAATCCTGAGTAACTCTATAAAGTGTGTACTGTTATCATTAGTTTACAGATAGAGAAAATAATAAAGGTTTTGGTTGGATTAAAACCCAGAACTATCTGAACCTAGCTCATTCTCCTGACTACTGTACTATACACTATTACTTCTCAGATGTATTTCTAAAGATCTGAGGTGTCCAGTTAATCTCACTATTTTCAAAAAGATTTTTTAGCTAATATCTTTCAAGTACAGATTTCAAAAGTAGTACAGAAATGGGCTGGGGGTTTAGCTCAGTGGCACTGCTCCTGCGTTGCAAGCTCCAAGGTCCTGAGTTTGATCCCCAGTACCAAAAATCAAAATGAAACAAAAGTAGTACAGAAATATTAAGGAGGATTTTTCATGGTGGATAATCTACAGATGAAGAAACCGAGAGTAGCCCAGTACCAATTAGGCATGAAAGCACAGTTAAGGTTTATAAGCTGTCTAGTTTATAGGCTGCAGTTCCCATGCTCCTAATAGGAGCCCACACTGTCTTCATGTCCAAGCTTGGGGCTGCTTTTAGTGGAGATGTAATAATAGGGCATTAACCTTTAAGGCTTTTATGGGGGAGGCCCCTTGGGGCCACCTAGCCTTCCTGCTTTGGTGGGAAATCATTTGATCACAATGTCATTTACTTGATTATGGTTGTTAAAAATATAGTTCTAAATTGGGCGAGATGGTGCATTCTTCCAGTCCTAACTCTGAGAGGCTGAGGCAGGAGGACTGCAAGTTCAAACCCAACCTGGGCAATTTAGCAACTTAGCAAGACCCTGTCTCAAAAATATAAAAAAGGCTGGGGCTATAGCTCAGTGCAAAGGCCTTGGGTTCAATCCTTAGAAACACTAAACAAAAACACAGTTCTAGGAGTTATGAGTATTTGAGGTTCTTTTCTTTATATTTTCAATACTCCTCCAAATCCTACAATGA